TAAACCCTGCCTGTCAGGACAAACCCAGGCCTAAGGAGAGTTTATAATGTCTGAGCAGAAAGACTTTTTATGGTAAGCGTTTTACAGCGCTTGCAACAGCATTTGGTCATAATAATAATATGAGCGCTTGAGACACATTAAGCATTTTCAGTTTGGTAGGAATTAATTTGGAATTTTGCCCTGGTGGCGGTCGAGGCTTACTCTTATCCATTTTAGGATCACCAAGGGATCTTTAAAGCGTGCAGCTTGAGCACTGGACCTCTGAAATTGCTCCCCTTTATCCGAGAAGGCTAGGTGAAGGTCTTATCTACCATAAGATCAGGGGTGTGATAGTGGTAGAAATACAGTAGTAAGAAAGAGCCAAGGAGTAACGTAAAGGAAATGTTGGTGAAAGAGTCAGGAGCCAGAGGAATGCCCCCCCCCCCAAAAAAAAGGGAAAAAGGGGGGGGGGGGGAGAGCAGATTAGGGAATAACATTTCCTTCGTTGTCAGGTTTCGAACCCGGGACCTTTTGGGTGAAAGGCGAACGCCGTGCGTACTTTAGACCATGAAAGCCTTAGGCCTATGCAGGAAGACTGAGGTACTTGATAAAATCTCTCCCCACTCGGGAATCGAACTTGGGTCTCATGTGTGCGACAGAGAAGCGCTTAGGTCTAACTACTACACCACAGATGCAGGGAGATCAAAGTCTTCTACTTAATGTTCTAAACTTCAAAGTTGTGAAAAGGCTGGTACCGTAATATGAAGTTGAACTATTGCTATTTAAAGCTTTTGTAATTGTGTGAGTTGAACTATTGCTATTTAAAGCTTTTGTGATTGTGTGAGTTGAACTATTGCTATTTAAAGCTTTTGTGATTGTGTGAGTTGAACTATTGCTATTTAAAGCTTTTTGTGATTGTGTGAGTAATGCTTTTTGTGATTGTGTGAGTTGAACGATTGCTATTTAAAGCTTTTTTTGATTGTGTGAGTTGAACGATTGCTATTTAAAGCTTTTTGTGATTGTGTGAGTTGAACGATTGCTATTTAAAGCTTTTTGCAATTGTGTGGTGGTGTCAAACTTTAAAAACTTATATGCATAGTGAACCATAGATCGAAAGGATTTTTCTACAGTGCAGCCTCT